TTTTAAAAAAGGAGGGAAACTCAAGCTCTATCATCTTTATCATCGTAAAAAAGTTGTTGTTTTTAGTTGCTGTGGAGTTGATTCTGATTCATGGTGACCCCACGTGTGCAGAGTAGAACTGTGCTCCGTAGGGTATTCGAGGCTGTCCCATTGCAAAAGATCGCCAGGCTGTCCTTCGGACACACCTCTGGGTGAGTTCGGACACACCTCTGGGTGAGTTCGAACCCCCAACCTTTCAGTTAGATCAGCCACATAGAAGATCCTCTTCAGCTCCTCCCCCAGTAGACTGTCCCCGCTGTAGGTTTTTCTAATTAAGCAAAGCTAAGACTGAAATTATTTTCATTGGCTGCTTTCTCGCTAAACACATAAATGCAAATACTTCCATGCAACCCCACACTAGCCAGCGGCTCTTCTAGATTTCTTGCATTTGCTTTGCAATTTTAAATTAGGTCAAATTCCAGCTCGGCTCCTATTCCTTCAAGCTGTCCGGGTCACAGGGCGGGGCTTCCTGCTGGGACCCCCATGGAAGGCAGAGGTGAAGCAGAAGCTTTAGCTGTAGGTGGCAAAGGCCACAGCTTCCAAACAAAGCCTGCCTGGCATGTCTACAAATGCAGCCTGTTCACATGCAACTGCCTTGATAGAAGTCAGAACAAACCAGCATTTTAAAAACACTTGCCAGCTCTTCTGTATTAAGAACAATGTTGTTGTTGTTGTTATGTGCCATCGAGTCAAACCCGACTCATAGCGACCCCTCCTTGGGTTTCCGAGGCAGTATCACTACGGAAGTAGGATTGCCCAACCTTCCTTCCGAGGAGTAGCTGGTGGGTTTGAACCGCCAGCCGTCTGGTTAGCAGGCAAGTGTCTCAGCCACTATGCTACCAGAGCTCCCTTAAGAACAATAGAAAATATAAATATCGATTTGTCAGCCCTTCTGAAAGCATGGCCCCTAAAATCTACAATTGACCACTGAAATCTCCTGTCTCCAAATGGCTGGTAAAGGGATCTTGCTCCTGGAGGCAAAGCAAGTGTACTGAATGTGCTTTAACAGATAAAGGGGAGAAAGGAGGGTCTGCGCGTTGCCCTGTAAGAGTCCCTGGGTGGTGCAAAAGGTTAAGGAGCTCTGCTGCTAACCTAAAGGCTGAAGGGTGGAGCCTGCCCATAGGCACCTGGGAAGAAAGGCTTGGGATCTACTTGCAAAATAATCAGTCACTGAAAGCCCTGTGGATTGCAGTTCCACTTGGATGCACATGGAGTTGCCATGAGTCAGAGGCGACTCGGTGGTACCTGGTGTTTTTTGGTTTTATTTTTTGTACATTTGCACCAATGCCCAAGAGTTTGGATGGCCGAGAGGCGCAAAAGTGTCAGTACATTTCGACCTCTGTCTTATGCCACGCCCACACCCCACCTCTGCTTGCCACGTGCAAATCTGCAGGCACGAGGCGGGCTCCAGCTGACCCCAGACTCTGAAGGGGAAGTTGAGGCTTGCAGGGGGCTCAGTCCTCAGAATGACCGTGGGGAGAGAATTGTGAACGCAGATTTCCTGGGCCCACGCCGCAAACAGGAGCCGCAGGGCAGGCTTGCCGAAGCACTAATAGAAGACTGAACCCTCAGCTCTGTCATCAAAGTCAGAAAGGGCTTGAGATTAATTTGAGAAATCAAACTGGGCTGGCAGACACTTTCTCTTGCAATAGAGCAACTACAAATACAAGGGCAAAGTAGATGCTCGAAATGCAAAGATGGCAGTGCTGACCGGAACCAGCTGGACACGATCTCTGAGCTCTTCGGACAGGCCCAAGGAGTACGTTTAAGTCCACGGTGTTCGTTTGGGGATTCGCCATCACTGCTTCTTTCCCTCCTTCTCTGTTTAGCACCTGCACAAACCAATTGACTGAGTCAATTCCAATCACTAGCTACCCCATGTGTGTCAGGGTTTTCTGCTTTTGTTTTCATTTTTCACTTTTTATTGTGATTTGGGTGAAAGTTTACAGAGCAAATTCGCTTTCTGTTCAACAATTCATAAACATTGTTTCATGTCGTTGAT